AGTTAAAAATTTTAAGATTTGCCTTGGATAGAAAACAGGGCCAAGGATCAGTAGTAACACATGCAATGTGACAAAGTTAGTGGCGTTAGATTGTGACTCCGTGGCTCATGACAGCTTAGCTGATACACGACGCCTTCATTCGCTGGCCATTAGAATCTAATTAAACCAAGGAGTCCTAGTGGCCCCATGGTTAAGCACTCAGCTGGCAGTTGGGACCCACCAGCAGTTCCTTGGGAGAAATGACCTAGAGACCAGCTTCCTTAAAGATGCTCGCCCATCAAATTCTAGTCTGCCCCATAGGGTCGCTGGGAGTCAATGCCACTCAACAACAGAATTAAACTGATCAGCATAGATGGAGGGGGAGCATTCCTTTCACTGGTACAGGAGTCCTGGTGACCTAGTGGTGATAGGCTGAACTGCTCTGCAAACCTCAGCATCAGCAGTTCAAAACTACCAGCTGCTCAGCCAAAGCAAGGTGAGGCATTCTACGGCTCTAAAGACTCACAGTCTCAGAAACACACAGGGGCTGTTTTATTCTAATCTCAGTCTTAGAAACCCACAGGAGTAGTTCTATCCTGTCTTAGAAGGGTGGGTATGAGTGGCAATCAATTCAGCAGTTGGGCGCTTATGGAGTTGCTATGTATCAGAATCAACCCAATGACAATGAGTTGGGGTGTTAATGGGTGCAATTGACCAAGACATAAAAGGCCAAGAGGTCTATTTTGAAATACAAAAATCAAATACCTTGCAAGAAGTTATAATAATAACTATACTGATTCAAGTTTACATTAAGCAATATAACATCTAAATAGACCTTCGATAAGCAGATATTCACATCTCTTCTTCTAAGTGAGGAAGTGGAGAGGGGAAGGGAGAACTCTTCCTCTGTTCTTTACAAAAGGAGCTCTCCAGCCTGGGCTACCAGGGGCCCCAGGGGATGAGAACGTTGATCTCAAGTGAGGAGAAAAAGAAGTAATACAACTCTAGTTTGCATTGGTCTTTTTCTTATTTAAAGCGTTTTTCTTTTGTTGGCTTTTTATTAATGTAAATAGCAGGAGTGTACAAGTATCTTTATTTATAAATCATACACATATTTACTACCAGTGAGGGGAAGTAATCCCAAAAGTTTAGAGTTAACTGCTACCTTTAACACATCATGCAAACAAACAAAACAAACACATCATTTAAAATTGGCGAAGACTGGCAATTGGACTTATTTTGTTTTGTACCCAAAATATTATACAAAGACGCTTTCAAGAGTTCATGGGAAAATTCCATTATCTTTTGATTCCATTTTTCTATGATTTTTTTGAAGCCCATCGCATGCAGGGCCGCCAGAAACACCTGCAGTATCTTAAGCAAACATGACCATGGTTAGGATGACTATGGTTCCTATAACCACCTGCTCTGTGCCGCTCCTTCTCCGACAACTCATCTTAATCACTCATCCTTGCCTCCCTATGATTTATACACGCTCTATGTGCCCCTGTTAAGATACATGCTAATCCATGCTTTATAAGCCACCGATGGCCATCAAGTTAATTCTGATTCAGAACAACCATACAGGAAGAGTAGAAATGTCCTGAGGGATTGCCAAGACTATAAATCTTTACGGGATCAGACAGCCTTTTATTTCTCCCTCAGCACCCCACGGTGGGTTTGAACCAAAAGCCTTGTGGTTAACCAACGCACATGTAAACACCACCATCACCAGGGTTCTTTCTGTGCTCCCATAGCAAATTGTGGCTCTCCAGCCACGTGCCGCCCTTTGGTATGTGCATGTAGCTCTGAAGTAAAATTGAAAATGAAAATAAGACTATCACCGTTTTGCTTAAAGGACAGCCTTCAGATAATGGTGATTTCATTTGTTTGTAAAAATATATTTGTTTCTCAAATAATTTTTAAGTTGTAACGAAGGACGGGGTTGGCACTTCTGTCTCAAAAGTTTGCTGAACCCTTGGTCTGTAGGATACTTAATTCTTTAATTTCTATCTCCTTCTCTGATTTAGTAATTTATCAATGGGAGTACTATTCTTGCTCCTCAGTCCTGAAGGGCATGTGTCCTGTTTTCCAAAAAATACAGAAAATCACCGGCGCCCTAATATCCCTGAAAGGTCTAACAAGCCCTCACTTCACTGTGACTCCAGCGCTGAGCCTCGGAGGGGAGTCTTTGATTCTCTTCCGAGGGAAAGGAGGCTATTTCCATAGTTTATTCTATGCAGGACTGAAAGAAAGAAAGGAGAAAGAGAGAGAGGGTTGAAAAGAAAGGAAAAAACCTCCCACTGCTATGGTGTCAATTCTGACTCAAGGTGACCCCACAGGACAGGGTAGAACTGGAGCTCCATGCAGGAGCAGGGAGCCTCCTCTTCCTCTGGAGGGCAGCTGGTGGTTTCAGGGCACGGAGGGGCTTCCTAGGGGGTGTCAGTGGTGAAGTGCTCAGTTGGTTAAGTGAGAGGTTGGAAGTTCCAGTCTACCTAGAGGTGCCTTGGAAAAGAAGTCTCGACAAACTACTTTTGAAAGAGCAGCCATTGAAAGCCCTACGGAGCACGGTTCTATGCTGATGCACGCGGGGTCTCCCTGAACCAGAATCCACGCCGCCGCCAGTGGGTGTTTTAATTCTACTCTAATGAGTCTCAAAGCTCGGCTGTCTACTGGGGAGCGGCGGCAGCAGCATCACCTGGGAACAGGTTAGAAATGGAAATTTTTGCATCCCCCCGGCAGACCGATCAAATCCGAAGGTCAGGTGGTGGGGTGGGGCACAGGGAATGGGGGAGGAAGAGCGTAGTCTGTGTTTTCACAGGTGATTCTGGGGCCTGTGCGTCCATCCGCCGTGGGCTGCGCCGGAAGGGAGCAACACTAGCGAGGCAGTACAGTGACTTGTGACGAGGGGGCTCGCGTTGCTTTGGAAGCAGCCAGGCCAGGAGGGAGGGGTGGGAAAAAGCAAAGGGGTACACATATGTCTGCAGCCATGGCTGCGGGAGCCGAAACTGCTGGGGGAAACCACTGCCGATTTCTCTGTACCCACAGGCCAGGACTTTGAGGGGCCTGGGAGAGGTCTTGCGCTGTGGAAACCTCTCCTCACCCTACATATTGGCCAGAACCAATCCAAAGGCGAAACGGCTTTCTGTCAATCGCTAGGAAATCGCCAAGACACGTTTAACAGCCAGTCTACCGTGCTCAACGGAAAGTGTCCGCGTGGAACCCTTTGGTGAGACATCTATTTTCATTATATACTAACTCCAAAATAAGAACTATCTCGGCAGAGCGGAGCTTTCCAAAACCCAAGGCCAGAGCACGGTGTGGTGAGCCCTGGGCTTGGGGAAGGGAGCCTGGTAGCATAATGGTCCAACTGCTGGCTGTTAACCGAAAGGTTGGCAGTTCAAACCCACCCAGCAGCTAGTTCCATGGGAGAAATGTCTGGCCGTCTGCTCTCATAAAGATTATAGCCTTGAGAGCCTGATGGGCACTTCCACTGGAGTCTCTAGGCGCTGAAAATCGCCCTGAGGGTGCTTAGCAACAACAGAAGCACTGGGCAGAAAAAGGAAAACACGAGACGGCTGTGATTTCCTGTAAAACTGTCAACCTTGAAGACATCACTGTTCTAAGAAAACTTATCAATAGCATTTTATTTGAACCTGTCAAGCTTCTTGAAAAATAGATCCCTGGAAAGTGTGCTATCAAGAAAGGGGGTGGGGGGGGGTCACCTCATCTTTAGAAAGCTTCCAGTCATCATTCAGATCCATTTCTTGGAAGGATTCATGGGATCTTGGTCCATTCCGAATCTCCAGCAGATCAACGTTGAATATCAATGTACTCTCTGGAGGAATCTTACCTGACATGAGGAGAGGGGGGAGGAAAAGTACATTAGAAAAAGACAGAATGCTCTTTTCATTGTAGTTTAGGAAGACATTGCTCAAGATTGTGCAATATGGTGAAGTGATGTGTAGTAGAATTATATTTCACTCAAAGAGTGGGGGGTGGCAGTCCACCCAGAGGAGGCACCTGGGAGAGGCACTCTTGCACGAGGCATTTGAAAGACAGGCTTGGTGCTGTTCTGAACAGCCACTGGTAGCCCTCTGGGCACAGTTCTAAGGTGACACACATGGAGTTGTCATAAATGCCCAGATGAAGGAATCATGTGGCCTAGTAAATATGAATCTATTTTTTGCTTTTCAAATTAAAAGAGAGAGAGAGAGAGAGAGAGATGTGCCTAATGGCCTAAGTATTAAATTAAAAAAAAATAGGGTATTCCAAAACAAAATCTGTAGTGGAGTAGATTTCAACATATACCGACCCTGTAGGACAGAGTAGAACTGACCCATAGGGGTTTCTAAGGCTATACATTTTTTGATCCTAAGAAACAGCGGGTGGGTCTTGGTTAAAACATTCACTGTCGTTTAGTTGATTCTGACTCATAGTGGCTTTATAGGACAGAGTGGCACTGCCCTGTGGTTTTCTGAGACTATAAATCTTTATGGATGTCGGAAGCCTGGTGGTTTCAAACTACTGGCCTTGGAGTGAGCATTCCAACAAGAAACCCACTATGCCACCGTGGTTAAGCCAAAATCAAGCTTACCACCGAGTCATTCTGACCCACGGGGATCCTAAAGACAGAATAGAACTGCCCCTGTGGGTTTCTGAGACGGCAATTGTTTATGAGCAGAAAGCTTCATCTTTCCCGCAAGGCACAACTGGTAGTTTTGAACTGCTAACCTCTTGGTGAGCAGCCCAACTCATAACCCTCTATGCCACCTGGGCTGCTCACGGCTGAGCATTAACTGCTGTGCCACCAGGTCTTCTTAAATAAGAAGTTCAAATTTTCATAGAATCCAGAATCTCTGGAGCCATAGGAGTCAGATGATCCTGAAATTATTACTTTGAAGAAAAAAACCCCAAAACTTTAAATCTTGAACCCAAACTGTCCTCTGAAGTCCTCTTTGCCTCAAATGTTAAGCTTAATTAGAAGAGAATGCCTGCATTAAGCATTATAGTCTCTTAAAGAATAGATATAAAAGGTGATCAAATGGAGAGCAGGAACTCGAATGGATGAATGAGAAGCTTGAGGGGCAGTTTGAGCTACGATGGTACAACCGCCTGGAAATGGCACAACTCGAGGAAAGCAACTGGTGTCCCGGAACTGTACATGCAGAAATGATTAACCCGGTGTCTGTTTTGTTGTACAGGTTTTCTCCCCAGAAGGGAAAGAAACATTACCCGTTATGCCTGGTGTTGAGGGTGCTCTAGAGAATTCCGATTTCACTATATTACAAACGATCACTAATGCAGAAGACAGGAAGCCCTGCCCTGTATTGCACCCATTCCATTGCACTTCCCTCTGTTGTACTTCCCAGACATTGTGTTTTCTTCTAATTAAAGGTTTGTGGCAACTCAGGATGGCCCGAGTGCATTGGCGTCATTTTCCTAACAGCATGCGCCTACTTCCTGTCTCCGTGTCACATGTTGTCTTCTCGCAATATTCCCAGTGTTTTCCTAATGGATTCCACAGGCGGCTTTTATCTGTACTGCGAAGCAAAACAAGTGTGCGGGACTCCCTTTATGTGGCATTCTAATACTCAGCATCTTCATGTACGTCTGCCTAGAATTGTCCTTTCCACCACTGGGAGAGACAATCAAACGTAATGAAGTATGCTCAGGTGGCTCACGGGTGAAGCTAATAATTCACCTTTTCTAGTCTCTTTCCTCATCTTTAAATGCAAGTAATATTAGTATACTCACGAGCCTGTTGAGAGGATAAAAGACAATGAACCACAACAAATACTTAGCAGTATCCATGATAAACCATAAGCTCCTTTTTTTTTTTTTACTTTGGCATGGATGGTTTTATTCATTATTTATAGTTTATAAAATAATTTATGATGTAGATATTGGGTTTTTAAAACGAATATTAAAGTAATTTTTAAGAATTTTACTTTTTTTAAAAAGATCATTTTATGGGGGGCTCTCACAGCTCTTATAACAATCCATACATCAATTGTATCATGCATATTTGGTCAGATCATAAGTTCATGATGACCATTTCTTAGACATAGTAATTCTTTTATAGGCTTTAGAAAGCAATGTGAAAATTTCAAAACGTTAAGAAACCTCTCCTCTGATGTATGAGGGTCAGTGAAAAAGGATGGGGACACCATAATGGAAACCTTTGTTAAACAAAAACATCAAACGTGAAGTTCACCAACATAGCCTTCGTCTAGGTCGATACACTTCTGAAGTGGCGTTTCCATTTCTCCGCGCCTTTCCCAAAGACGTCTGCACTCTCCTGTTTACACCACGTCAAAACAGTAGTTTGGGCTTTTTTGAGGGGCTCAAATTGGGTTCCTTTTAAATGTTTTTTGTTTTTGTTTTTTCCCAGTTGTGAGAATCAAAAGCAGCCTGAAGGGACAAGAGCAGAGCTATGGAGGTAAAGAAAACAGGGTCACTCAGTGATATTGTTGCCTTTGTAGGGCGGCTTTGCTACCCTAGAAGTACGAGCAGGTCACTGTCATGATGGAAAAAATTCCTTGGTGCAGCTTTCCTGTCCTTTTTCCCACCAAGGCAGTTTTCAATTTTCTTAAAACATCTCCCTGATGCATCCCCATGCTCACCCTGTGCCCACTAAGAAAACCGGTCAGGATTACTACCCCTTCTGATTCACCCCGCTGCCATGTCCTCTGGAGGTGACCTCTCTGCTTTGAATTTCACTGGCCCAGCAGATCCCCTTAGAAGCCACTTGCGCTTGGACTCTGTCATTTTTGGAAGGCACTGTTATGATATCGAGACAAGCACATTCCAGAGAAAACTGGTCTGGAGTCATCCCCTGGTCATATGTTTATAACAGGTTCTGTTCCCAATGAACCCAGGCATATATGATATAGCGACACTTTTTTACTTACCCTTGGAAAATATTTTACAGAGGTTAAAAGATTTCATGGGAATTGGGGTGGGGGTGGGTAAGGGAGAAATGAAAATGAATTCCTGAGGTGGGAGAGAAAAATCTTGGACAGTTAAAAGAGCTTTGTTAAACACCTAAAAAAGAAAGTACAAACAATTTGTTTCAAAGCATTTCCTTACAGTCACATTTAACTTACAGATTTGGAACAAACATTTCAACCTATTTCCAAGCATGTCCATGAAAGAGCATTTGTGTGCCTCAAAGGGAACCACACTTACATTGCGCAGGAAGCTTAGCAGTCCACATCCAGACAGAGGGGGCATGCACTAGGGGTGGCTGACCACACCGGCACTCTCCAAAGAAGGCATGCAAGCGCGGTGCTAAAAACTACAGAATCAGCGCTGGAGACGTGGCAGAAGAATTCGTTTCATGACACTTAGTGCAAAGGAAATGACCAAACTTAAATCACTACTGGTTATCATGATTAAACTTGAGTTCACTATAGTACGGCGGCGAAGAGTCATGAACTCGTACTATACATAGATATTAAATAAAAACGAGACAGTGAAGATGCAACAAAGTCATAGGGCATGTGTAAGCAACAGAGAAACATTTTTTAGATCCATGGCTTTCTTCTCCACAGTTGACTACAATAACGTAAGACTTGGAGTTGGTTAGTAAATCCTTCTCTAGGCATAAGATTTACACGGCGAGTTCAATTTTGGAACGGTGGTTACGCATTCGGCTGCTGACTGCAAGGTCAGCACCTTGAAACCGCCAGCTACCTTGAGGGAGACAGACGATGCTTTCCACCGGGTGGTTAGTCTGGGAAATGCACAAGGGGCAGCGCGAGCCTGGCCTGCAGGGCTGCTATGACTCGCAATCAACTCCGTGGCAGAGTTTGGAGAATGTTTCATATATGGCATTTTCATTTTCATTCTCAGGAAACTAGGAATTGGGATTCTGATCCCATTATAAATGGTAAGGAAAGACCCACTATTGATACTGTATCACTGTCACTGGCGTTCTCTGTGTGGTTCTGACAACTACTGAACACACCTAACTTGTTCTTCATTATGAAAGATATACATGAGATAGAACCAGAAATTAAAGCATAATGTCCAGTCCCACAGCCCAATAAATATTCTAATTTATTTCCTTGGGATTTATTTTCTGTGTATACATATTTTATTTTTTAAATCATTTTTGGGGGGCTCTTACAAGCTCATATCACAATCCATACATATATCCATTGTGTCAAGAACATTTGTACATATGTTGCCATCATTTTAAAAATATTTTCTTTCTAATTGAGCCCTTGGTTGATATCAAGCTCATTTATCCCCTCCCTCCCATGAACCCTGGATAATTTATAAATTATTACTTTTTTCATCTTACACCAACCGCTGTTGTGTATACATATTTTCTTCCAATGCTTAGTGTCCTAGTAAATATATGACAGCTTTATTTTCTATATGGATATATAACATTATATCATGAATTTTATATACACTTTTAAAAAATCTTTGAGGATTCCAGTTTTCGTAACTGGCCTATATTTTATTTCCACCCACTGACATGGAGTCAGTTCTGACCCATATTGACCCTTTGGGGCAGAGTAGAACTGCTTCTCTAGCTTTCAGACTGTAAATCTTTGCAGGAGTACATAGCCTCATCTTTCAATCCAGAGAGCAGCAGTAGGTTTGAACTACCAACCTTGGAATTATCAGTCCAATGCTTAGCTTAGGACACCACCAGAGTTCCTTTATATTTTACTTTGCTAACCCTGGTGGCATAGTGGCTACTCATTGGGCTGTTAACCACAAGGTCAGTAGTTTGAAACCACCAGCTGCACCTTGGGGAAAATAAGAGACTTTCTACTTCTGTAAAGAGTTGCAGTCTTGGAAACACAGGGGCAATTCTACTCTGTCCTGTTGAGTCACTATACATTGGAATCAACTTGATGGCAGTGAATTACTATTTTTTAAACCCTTATTATTACACATATAGACTGGTTCCAACTTTTTGCTGTTGGAAACAATGCACTGCTGAACATCCCTGCTCACAAATCTTGCTCCTGATAATCTGAATTATTCCCCGCAGACTACTTTCAGTGTAGGAGCTACAGGATAAAGTGATCTCTTTAGAACTTGCTGTCATCTAGGGCCGCCAGGGTCGGCAGTGAGTTTGGTTGGTCTGGTGATAGAGACAGGAGAAAGAAAGGGTGTTCTAATCCTGTGCAGAGTTCCAGTCCTGTAAACTCACAAGGGCAGTTCCATCCTGTCTCGGGACCCATTCAATGGCAGTAGGTTCGTTTATTTTGGTCATCAAGTAGATGACAACTCACAGTGATCTTATAGGATACAGTAGATGCAGGTTTCAGAGGCTGTAAATCTTTACAGGAACAGAAAGCTTCATCTTTTCCCCAGGAAGTGACTGGTGGGTTCAAACCACTAACCTTGCAGTTAGGAGCTCAATTCATAACCCACTAAGTTAGCAGGGCTCCTTTAGGGCCTCTTGATACAGCCCTTTAGAATGCTGCACTGGTCCCACTCAAAGGTCAGGTGTGTGTGCCTGTTCTGGAACTGGCCCAGAGCCCTCCAGGCCAGCTAGCCTGCTTACTTCAGCTTTGTGGCGCAGAGGAAACAAAACCTTCTTATGTCACCTGCTGCTTTTAAAAATAGATCATCAAAGCTTTATCAATACACTTTAAAATAAAAAAGAACAGAACCCCATGAGAGCTTATAGTTTGTTGCAAGCCAGTCTCAGAGGGTAAATCTAAAATTGCATTTAACGGCCTGTGTTTTAAATGTCCGACTTACGATACGAGGTGGCTTTAAAAAAGTTATCGGTAAATGGCATTAAAAGACAATGAAATTCCCCCTCTCCAAACGTTTCCAAGCCCTTTTGTACTTGCATGGAATAATGGCAAAACAAATGGGTGATGGTGAACAGAGGTCAGGGCTCCAGGACCTTTTTACAATCCCTGCTGGGTGGCCAATTCAGAGACGATTCGACTTTATTTTAGCAGACCATTTTAATTGATAACTAAGCTATGCTTACATTTCCCAAAGGAATGCAAGCAGTTGTACTAACTTCATTCTCTGGACCTAAAGCACGCTCTTGCTAAAGCAAGAAAAGGGGAAGGGGTCTTACCTTGTCCTTCTTTTCCATAGCCAAGCGCAGGCGGAATGGTGAGCTTTCTCTTCTCTCCCACACACATGCCCTGCAAGCCCTGGTCCCAGCCTTTCAGAGACTCCAGAATGCCCAGGGTGAACCAAATGGGCTGACCATTGTTATGTTTATGACTGCGATAGAAAGAACACATATTGCAACTCTCCATTTTATTTTTTATTGCCATGGTATGTTTCCCACCCGCCTACCCGCCCACCCAATCTATAGACAATTACTTGATGGGAAGTTAATACGGACAATGGCTGTAGGATGGGCTCAAACAGAGGAACAACTGTGAAGATGCAGCAGGACGGGGCAGTGTGTCCTTCTGTTGCACGGAAGGTCACTATGAATTGGACCGGACTCGAGGGCACCTCACAACAACAACAACTTTATTTGCACCCATAGGAATCAACTGTATCCTAAGTTGATTTCAGTCAATGCAAATTTCATCTTTCTTGATGCAAATTTTACACAGTTGACTCAGCTAGGGCAGGGCAGAGGAAACTATCAGAAAAGCAACAACTGTTTTTCTTGGTGTTTTCTATGTCTGATGTAGTCTCTTCTTTTGATGCTACAGTGATCCTACGAGGTCAAGCACCTTGATTACTCTCTCATACAGGTTAGGAAACAAAGGTTTAAGTGTACCAGTATTTAACCTCAAACAGACCAAACTCCAACCCCAAGGCCATGCTGTCCCGGGAAAACCACAAGGATACAGAACAGAAAAAATTGGGAGTGGGTTCCTGTGGGAAGAATGAAAGCCTAAGGAGAATTGACTGCCAGCACACGTGAATCCATATGCCCACGATAGCAGGGGTCGGGGCACGGCAGCATTCTATCCCACCGGCAAGCGATCCTAGCTGACAGCACACCCACAGCTCCAACAGGTGAACTGGCTGTCCCTAAATCCCCACTCAGACCCAGGCTCAGTTACTTATTTCCTCAACAGTTTAAAAGGTACTCTTTTCCCACCTCTCAGAGCACAGCAAACCCCAGGCTCCATTACCCTGTGCGAGCACTTCATGCCTTCTGGACTCTGTATTGTGAGCTATTCACATGTCTCCTGCCCTCTACCTGTAGACTGTATGTGGCTGCTAGATGACAAGTCCCACTCTCAATCATGGTTGCCTCTCCCACACCTGAGCTGTAGCCATTCAATGAAGGCGTGGATGGATACAGGCATAGATGACGATGAGTAGAAGCAACATTTCTGAATGCCTGGTACCCAGCAAAGGGTTGAACATAAAGAAAATGCTCAATAAATCCTTCGGAACGGAGTGAATTGACGTAATGCCTGACGGGAAATCATTGCACCTGTAAAAATGTTCCCATGTTGCAGTTTCTTTATTTGTAGAACAGAAACAGTGATTGTGTGGCCACCTGAAGGAGCCCTGGTGGTGTAGTGGTTATGCATTGAGTGGCCAACTGCAAGATCAGCAATTTGAAACTACCAGCTGCTCCGGGGGAGAAAGATGGGGCTCTCTAGCCCTACAAAGAGCTTGTCTCGAAACCCACAGGGGCAGTTCTGAGTTGTCCTGTGGGGTCGCTGTGAGTCAGCACCGATTCCATGGCAGCGAGTTTGGGTTTCACCTGAAAACTTCTCACTGCAGGTTCGGGATTGGCCTTCCAGAGTCACGCCCACAGCCACGGCCATCAATGAAGTCTCTGGATTCTATAAAAGGAGCCAGCCCATCAGTATGGAAAATCATGGAATGTGTCTAGATTTGTCTGCTCTGGTGAAGATGTACAAGCTTCAGAAACCCTAAATAGGATTGCGGTGAGTAGGAATGGATTTCACAGCAGGGGATTTTTCTTTTGGTGCCCAGGGCTAAATGTCATCTATCAATGGGATCACATTTGCACAGCCTTCAAGAGGCAAATAAGTGAAGGTGTATTTTGCTCATAAAGTTGCTATGGGCAGTTTTAGGCAAATACACCAAATAAAACAAAATTGAACAGACTAATCTTCCCTAAAGAATGGAGTTTGTGAATTCCTTTACGCTTTTCTTACTGTCTAATTACGACTTCGCTATTTGTGTATTGTCTCAAGGCTTCTAGTCCTGATTTTTGTAATAAATGAAACAGCTTTATTCAGGCCACATGTTTCCAGAAAGACCTTTTAAGGTCTCCGCATGTGTTGTAATACTGGCTTTAAACAATTCCCTTTCCCCCCCAAAAGTAAATAGGCTATTTCTGCATGCGTTTTATAAGAGAAACAACTCTTTGCAGCTCAGGAGCTAAAGGGAGGGTGGATTCTTGTCATTTTACTTGTGGGGCACAGTTACTTACGTGGAGTGGAATAAGGCGCCGTCCTTTTCTAAGTAGCCTTCATAGTGGATCAGCATTAAGTCTCCCCCTTTGGTCTTGCGTTGGCAGATAAATGGCTTCTGGAGAACCTCGATCTTCACTTCTGGTTCAGGGATCAGAGCCCCGCTCAGAGGAGTGACTAAGAGAGTCAGGACCGCGTTCCATGCGAGAAGTCTCATGTTAGTAGGACAGGAGAGAGTCCCTACAAACAGAGAAAGGGACCCTGACTACAAAGAGTTAAGACTTTGGGACAACAGCTTCGGGCAAGTTCATGACTACGCAGCAGACGTGGCACTTTTACTACCGACAACTTTCCCAGGCACTGCGATCTCTCCCTACGAGGTTAAACCCAGACCGAGGCCTCACTGGCTCTAAGACTGCAGCCGCCCGGACAGACTGTCCTCCTATTGGCCAGGGCCCTTGCCAATCAGGCCTCTCTCCAACCAATGGCGTCGCAACGTTGGAATTCGCCGCCGGGCTGCGGAGATTGGGCAGCCTGCCTTGCGGAGGACAACAGGGAGAGATCCTAGAGCTCCAAGATTTAAAGAACTTCAAGTCCCAGGACCGGGTGGCGCTGTGGGTTGGGCCTTGCCTACTAACTGCAAGGTTGGTGGTTCGCTCCATGGGAGAAAGAGGAGGCAGAAGAAGCTGTTGCTCCCATACTGCAGCTATGAACCAATAGCACACTGTTTGGTTTGGACATTGGGAGTGGCGAGAAGCTTACCGAATCTCCTCCAGACGATTCCCTGCTGGGATGAGGATGTATCAGTCTCAAGTAAAACTGTAGACGTGTCAGGAAACACCAATTCTTGCCCTTGACGAATGCTGGTCCCTCACCCCAATCCTACCCCCAAGGCTCCTGCACTCCTTATTAATGAACAATACATACTCTAGACTTCCCTGGGGCTTTAGGAGTTACAGAGTAGGGTCCTGTGCTCGAGCCCCACTCCAACAAGGTAGGTGAGCATTTTGTTTTAATCTCTTTCTAAAGTTAGGTAAATTTAGGCCCAGGCAGGTATTCAGCCCCATATCGGTTGAGCTCGGACTTCAAACCAAGTCTTCTGATTCATTCCACGACTTAACTTTATGACTAATTGATAACGTAGGTGTACTCTAATGTAGCCGTGTAAACTCAAGGCCGAAACCAGTGCTTTAGAATACATTCTTAGTGGTCTTTGAGGCTGTATGGAAGAAGGCAGCCTCATTTTTCTCTAGTCCAGCTCTTGGTGGGTTTGAACTGTGGACCTTGCCATTAGCTTACAGGATAGCTTCACAGACAATACTAATGTTTGCCTCCTTCGAGAGTGTGTGCAGACCTTTGCTTTAAAGAGGAAATAGTCATCATGTTTACCAGTTATATACCAGCAAGCTTATCCTAATTTTTTTCAGTTTTACATTTGTTCCCTTGCCTAATTTCAAAAGTAATTTGGAATTATAAAGCAGGGCTTAGTAGGTACCCTTTAAATTTGAACTTCAGATAAACAGTGCATTTTTTTTTCTTTATTGAATCTGGCAAACAAACTCCTAAAAATCACGCAACAGGGTGGAGGAAAGAGAAAAGTAATTTACAATACCTCCATCCACAAATAACCATCCTCACACTTTGCCGCTGGTTTCTGGGACATGTGCCTAAAACATTTTGAATCACATTGTATACTTTGTTTAGCAACCTCCTTTCCGCATGAAATCTATAGTTAATACTTTCCCTGGTCAAATATTCTTAGCAGAGTGTTTCTCACCCTTTAATGTGCATAGGGATCCCCTGGAGATCTTGTTAAGAGTGCAGATGCTGACTCAGCGGGTAGAGGAATCCCCTGGGGATCTTGTTAAAATGCAGGTTCTGATTCTTCAGGTCTGGGCTAGGGGACAGAGACCGCATTCCAACGAACTCCCAAGTCATGCCAATACTGCTGGTGTGGACACCTCCACTCAAGAAGCCTTCGAGTTCACACAACATATATTTGCACACGGTATCCCACCGTGAAATTCTCATCATCTCCGTAAGCTTTATGGTCGGATACCTCCAGGGTGTGGGATCAAATAGAAATCAGTGAAACAAGGTTCCCGTTGGAACCGTCAGGGACCCCGACCGGTCCCCCAAACAGAAACTGGGACTCAGCCATCCATGGCATCAAGAGTCAGAGCTGTGCCCCACACTTCTCCCCTCCCCCCCTTTTGCTCAGCGTCCGCTAGCGAGTCCTTTCCCGGGACTCAGTTTCCCTGCGAGCTCAGCCGGCTACGTCAGCGCCGCCGCGAACCCACGGGGTGGATTTCGGGAAGGCAGGCGCGCCGGGCGCACTGGGCATGCGCGAGCGTGCTCCCGGGCCGGCGGCC